AACAATGTTTTGAAAACCGGACCGGACATCGAACCGGATAAGTAACTGGGTCATGGTTGGACTGGTTCAACCGGGGTCCAACCGGGTTTTTACTTTTTTTTGTATATAATTATTTTATTAATTTAATATCTAAAATATAATATATTTTTTTATATTTTCTTCCCAATCTACTGACTCAAGTCACGTTTTTCTAGAAAAAAAGAAAGAAAAAAAAAATTCAATCGTTTTTTCCTCTCTCTCCTCCTCTCTCTTTCTTCCTTCTGCTACTACTTCCTCGTCGGTTTTCACAGAGCATCCCATCTCCTCTTCTTCCTTGCTTCTTTTCTTCTTTTTTTATTTTCTTCTTCCTTCTTTCTTCTTCGTCGGTTTATTCTTTCTTCTTTATATGGCAACCAACACTTGGATTGGGTCACATGTGACCCAGATCCGTTCAATCCCAACCTTCTCCGACAAGATTCAGTCACTTAAGACGACCATCTGTGCAGATCCGGCCATTTCGAGCGAAAACCCGGTTCTCGAATTGGTTTTCGGGTTTCCCGGTTCTTACCGGTCGAACCGGGTTTTTGATAATTGACCCGGGTTTTTGAGCTTTTTGGGTTTTTACATCTAACCGGACCGGACACGGAGGCGGTTCGCGGTTGAACCGGTTGGACCGGCCGGTCCGGTCCGGTTTTCAAAACATTGCTTATTAATCCTCAACCAAATCAAATTACCAAATCATTTGGTGGGCCCTCCCTCTTTTATTTCCCCACACGCCACCGTTTCTAATAATACAATTACTACTGCTTCCAAACTTAATGTAAATTACCTCCAACCCAAATTAATTGTCGTTTTGTAACTTTGTACAAATATATTAGTCTCAATACACGTGTTTTGATTTTAGGAAAAAACAATTACATTAAAAATATTAAAATAACTTTGATAATTAACGATTTTAAAATTGAATTAATAAGGTTAAAATATAATAAATTATATGTGCTGTTGTATTGAAAATTTAAAGTGATAAATAATATAAAATATTTAAAAAAAAAGACGGTGGAACAAATGGGTACTAAAATAATCATTATTATTAGGTAAACGCGAGTGGATAAAATCATAAAGGCAAATTGCACTTCCCTCTAAAAAATGCATGCTTTAATTTGGACTTTCCCCCTTAAAATACAAAAATATAATTGTTTGTATTTAAAATACATAACTCGGTGTATTTTCCTCAAAATATATATTTTCGGTCTAATTCTTACTGACTGAAGGGTGTATACGTCATTTTACATCTTATGCTTGGGAATCCTCCTTTCAAAGTTACTTAGGGTTCCCAAATTAACCAAATTCTCTTCCCAAATTGATGAAATTCGCTTCAAAATTAGACGATTTTTCTTCCAAATTCGACAAAATTTGTTCTTTGTTCTTCGTAATCATTGTATAATGTACGGTGAAAAGGGGTTAAATGACATTTACATCCTTAGAAGACGTAATTACCCTTCCAATTTACTCAAATCCGACAAAAATTAAACCGGAAATACACATTTGGGGCAAAGTGCATCATGTTGTATATTTCAAAAGAGGACAGCCTCTTTTTCGTATTTTGATGGGGAGGGGGGAGTGCGAAAAAAGGCATTTTTTAGGGGTGAAGTGCAATTTGCCCAATCTTGAATGATCAATTGTTAATTTTGAAATAATAAAAGTATTATTATATCCATATATATATATATATATATATAACGAAATAATTACGGAGAAATCGATTAGGCCACATTGCATGCTCGTTATATAATAGGCAATTAAACGTTATTGAATGTTTAAGGACCACTAATAATGTTAATGTGTGCGACTTTTGTTACACATGAGCGACAAAAAGGCTGGTTGTGACGTAACTCAATATCCAATTGTTTTCATTTATTAATTAATTAATTAATTAACTTAACCAAACTGAATAAATTAGATTTGGATTAAGGTTTGATTAGATCAGAAAATGATTAGCTACCACCATGGAATTCGTAATTTCCTAATTGCCCCGATAAAGGTCAAGTTAGGGGGGATTCCATTTAATTTAATCAAATTTCAAAATACGTCAATAACCGATACATATAACAAAGAAAAAAAAAAAAGAACAAAAATTGTCACGATGTCAATTATGGCAATTAATTAAAAATTGCAGTATTTTTTGGTGGCCGAATACAAGTTCGGACCCAACTTTAATAAATTCCAATAAATAATTCATTCAATAATTTAAATTTTAAACACACACATTATTATAATAATGATGGTAAAAATTAAGAAGGGCAAAATCGTAAATAATAAGTAGTTGGAGGCAAATATTAAATTGAGAAAGTGAACATAAACTACTTAAATTAAAGGGTAAATTACACACACCCCCCTGAGGTAAGCTTAAATAACTGTAAGGTCCCTGTGGTATCGATAATTACATTCACCCCCCTGAAAGGTAGTTAAAAACTCTAACGGGATAATGCATTGTATACATTATTCTAATAGGGTTCTAATGGACTATTACTTTCAGCTAGTGGTGGAGACAACATAGAGTTATGGGGAGTTATGGGGTGACATGGCTCCCCCAATATTTGCTGAATCACCCATAACTCTTAGTTGTCTTCACCACTTCCTGAAAGCAATAGTCCATTAGAACCCTATCGGAATAATGTATACAATGCATTATCCCGTTAGAGTTTTTAGCTACCTTTCAGGGGGGTGAATGTAATTATCGATACCACAGGGACCTTACAGTTATTTAAGCTTACCTCAGGGGGGTGTGTGTAATTTACCCTAAATTAAATTAATATTATTTCTAACATCCTTAACCGGTGGCCTAACTTCCTCATCAGCACAGCCGACAAATGAATTATTAAATGTGTGTGTCTATGTGTTTATGAAATCTTACAGATTAGTAGGGCCCCCAAACACTCCCTATCAACTTTCTAGTTAAGCAAAGATCCTCATTCGTGTTACTGAATCATATTCCCATCACCATTATAATTTATACATACGCTCCATATATCATTAATAACTAATTAATGAGTATTAATTACTATGAAGCTACCCACCCCCTTATGCCCTGTTTGGCCTACTTTTTTTCTTTTTCCCTTTTTACTCTTATCCCCACCTAAAAAAAAAGAAAAAAAAAAAAAAAAAAAAAAGACAATGGATTAAGCAATGATAGTGCGCATCTATATCTCATCCTCCAATATTTGACAGTGGGACAAATAGATTCCATCGACCACAAATTGTTCATTAGAAAAGGGGAAAGTGTTAGTCATCACCTAATTAAAAGTAAGATTTGGGGCTTGTTTGGCTGAGTTTATTTTAAACAACTGATAAATTCTTACGTTTGATAAGATGTTTTATGATGATAAGCTGTTACGTTTTATTTTCATAATTAATGTTTAAACTGTTTAGATAATGAGCTTATTTGCTATTTTTATTCATTATAAGATCTTAAATAAAAAAATGAGGTAGATGTACTTATTATGAATCTTGTTTGTTCTCTAACAACTTATTTTAAAAAAAAATTACGAAACACCCTCTTAGACAGTCTCGCATAGGACGGCCTAGCGGTTGGAGAAGTAAGTATCCGTCGATTGACCCATGTTCGAATTCCGTTACTAACGGTCGCTAGGTCGTGTCTATCACACATGCTTAATTTAGTGTGTGTTACTTCTCTCGTATAATTTGCAAACTATTATATGAGAGTGTGGGTTTACCCTGTTAACTATATGGTTGCCTACGGGTTCGTCGATTAACATAAAAAAGAAAAGTAAGATTTAGACAGATTTTTAAAACCAAATAAAGCAGACATGGTGGTAAGAAGAAATGTCATGTGGTCTGCTAATAAACGGTGCTATGATTCACATGAATCGACCTTTCCAAACATGGGATTGCTTATCTTACATTACTTTGGAGGATAAACCTTCCTACTTTTGCTTCTTTAATTAATTTAATTCTTATCCACTCTTAACCGGCCACAGCTAATTATTAACTAGGCTACAAATTAAATTGAATTATATACATTTGTTTGAATTTCTCCGATTTTGTGATATTTGATTTATTTTAATACTTTATTTTAATATATATATATATATATATATATATATATATATATATCGGAATTAGATATCCCATTTTCCTTTATATGAAAATTTATAATTTTAGAACTACTGTTTGCATGCATTTCTCTTTGTTTTGATTACTTCGAAAAATAATAATTCCGATTCGATTCATCTAATTTCTACTGGTAACCACGATTCGTTAAATCAAAACTGAATTCTCTTTTAATTTAAAAATAAATTTAAATATGGTAGTTTATTATGCTATAATTGTTTTTTTTTTTGGAGAACACATGTCAATTGTGTGCATAAATTATTTGTCATACAAAGTTTGAAATGATGTCAAAAATAGAATTCATATGGAAATATAAAAGTATGACCAATTTTAGCCGAAGAAAGCGCAAAGCACAAATATGCTGACTTTTTTTTTTTCCTTTTTTTTTCCTTTTTATCTTTTCTAAAATGATTGATGCAAAAGTATAGAAGATTAATTGTAAATAGTAAGTACACAAAACCAAATGGCCGAATAATCACGAGAGTAGGACGAATGAATTACGCTACATAAAATTATACATTATTACGTACGTACAAACATATAAACATGCAGTACTGTGAAACCTAATTGAGAATATACAATATATATAAACCGGTAAATAAATAATTAATTAATAGTATAATTTGGCAAAGAATCATTCTCTTGATGTGTGTGTGTGTGTGTGTGTGTGTTTTCCATGTGAATCCCCACATATTATTCATTCTCTTACATCATCGATTCGACTTATGAATTCTCGTCAAGAAATGAGTGTGTGCTTCTTTTCGTTTCCTTATTCTTGGTCATAATTATTGCACACACCAACAATATAATAAGTGGGGTTCAACCATACACATTTGGTCAACATTAGTGCTATGTGTGTGTGTGTCTTTGTGTGTGTGAGAGAGAGAGAGAGATAAATCTAGAGAGAGAGAGTTCTAGAGAGAGAGAGAGAATTTTCAATTATCATAATTTCTTCACCCAAAAATTCCTTTCCATACTTATTGATGATGATGATGTTGATTTGTAATGATAAGAAAATAGCCACCACCCCACCCACCAAATTAGCTAATTAATTCACCTCCCAAAAAAATATAAAATATTTTATTTATTTTTATTTTGTGTCAATATATTATATATACTCACAATATATAATTCTCTTCGGACACAAAACCAACACCACAATTTTTTTTCCTCCTTCCCCACCAAAACCATTTTTTCCAGACAGCAAAAACAAATGGGTATGGAAGATTTATGCAGTACAGGCCTGTTTCTAGGGTTGGGATTTTCATCACAATCAAACGGAAATAAAAAGCCAATTAATAATAATAATAATAATAATATCGGCTCCGATCATCACGAGCCATCTCTGAAACTGAGCCTCTCCGGCGAAACATTCGACCAGAATCATGCCGTGAAGAAGGTGGTTAAGTCCGACGGCGAAAAGGGCGGCGGTTTTAATGATTTGTACAGACAAGACAGCGGCGGTTCATCTTTCTCCGGCCACGTCAGCAGCAGCGTGAAGAGGGAGAGAGAGAATTGCAGCGGCGGCGAAGAGGGAGGTGAGCTGGACAGGGTTAATTCGTCTAGGGTTAGTGACGAAGACGATGACGTAATCAACGGCCGGAAGAAACTCAGGCTTACCAAAGCTCAGTCCGCCCTTTTGGAGCAGAGCTTTAAGCAACATAGTACTCTCAATCCTGTATTAATTCTCTCTCTCTCTCTCTCTCAGATATTTATACTCATATACATATATTATACGGAGTATATTATATATATATATGATAATTAATATATAATTTAATTTGTTCATCAGAAACAAAAACAAGATTTGGCACGGGATTTGAAGCTTAGGCCTCGCCAGGTTGAAGTCTGGTTTCAGAACAGAAGAGCCAGGTAATTAATAATTTAATATCAATTCTTTTAAATCTTCATATAAACGACGTCGTTTGATGCTCAAAGTAGCCGTTTTCTGTGATGAATATCGCGTTTTGACGCCACGTCACGCTATCCAATTTTCTTTTCTAAATTATTTTCCTCCGCAATATATATATATATATATGACTTTATTATTCTTTTGATTTTTGAAAATCAAATCAAATCCAATATATATTTCTAGGGCCCAGGTGTTCGTTAACCTTTAGTTACTAGCCATTATTTTGTGGACACGTGTTCCGTTTGTCCGAGTGAAAATTATATTATTTAATTTAATTTAATTTAGAATTTTCTGAAAATAAATGATTAAATTTTCATCAGGACAAAGCTGAAGCAAACCGAAGTGGACTGTGAATTCTTAAAAAAATGCTGCGAAACCCTAACGGAGGAGAACCGGCGGCTGCAGAAGGAGCTGCAAGAGCTGAAGGCGCTAAAATCGGCTCAGCCGCTTTACATGCAGCTTCCGGCGGCTACACTCACTATGTGCCCTTCTTGTGAAAGGATTGGCGCCGCCGCCGCACCAACAGAAAACTCCGCCAAGAGCTCTTTTGTTTTGGCTCCGAAGCCGCCGCACTTCTACAACCCCTTCACCAATTCCTCAGCCGCTTGTTAGTAAATATTAATTAAACATGGAACCGTGCCACAAACCATGCTTTTTAATTCGGTTAATGGCTTTACTTAGGGCAAAGAAAAAAAGAAAAAAAAAGGATAAATTCAGCTAATTAATAGAAATAAGGAAATTACTAATTAATCATCATGTTTTCTTTTTTAATTATGTAATCGTTTGTATATCATAAATTGTTTTATTTTAATAATTAATTAAATATTGTGTAAGGGATTATTTAATTATTTTAGTGTCGTCTTTTTGTCGCAGGATGTATCTTTTAAATTGGTTGGTTTATGATTTGTAACAGATTAATAATATTTTATTTAAATTATTATTTAATTCCAATTTGTGCTTTTATTTAATTTAATTTAAGAAAAATGTATAACTACAAAAAAGTGTTCCTATATTTTTCCGAATAAAGGCTTAGATGTTAAAGAAGAGGATATAATTGTATTTATCTTATAGCCTTATGCTTTGTTCTACACTCGTAATGTTTTGTATTTGTATAAATCTATACATATGTATTTATGATGAGTTTAAATTAGCCACATGCAATAATATAGGTTTTCTCGTTTGTTTTGTTCAATAGATTATTAGATCTTGTCATAGGTTTGAATATCCATGCCTTGTATGTTTGAAAGACTACTAAATAATGTGAGTAAGAAAGATTATTAAATAATGTGCGTAAGATAATGTATATGGAGGATCCAGTTCATTGAATTCCTTCTCATAAACCAGTCCCTTTTTCTCTACACGTGAACTAGTATATATACTACTACAACATGGGCCCTTTTTGGCTTGTTTATATTTCCTAGGTACAAAAGTCATCATCCTATCTATTCTGCCACGTGGCGAATTCTTATTAGTCCTTTTCACTGTTCCTCGGTCAGTTCAAGCCTGCCACCTATCCTTTACTTTCCAGAATTGTCCCCTGCACGACTTTCGAGATGCCGACGTAACGCTTACTTCTTTAGGCGTGGAATTACCTCCTCAGCCTATCTCGCAAGTTTTATACTTCGTTAATTACCCTTTGCGGTCTATTATGATTTTGCGGTATTGGGCTTCCTTCAACTTGACTTGGACCCTCCCTCTGGGCCCGAGTCGGTCCTGAACATCTAGGTTTCATTTAATTGGGCTTTAACCTTTCCTCTAGCCCAAATTACTCCGAATCAATTTATATAATTATAAATATTCATTTAAATATTTTGATCTCAAAGTGTGAAAAAAATAGTGAAGAGATAGAGGCGGGTACATCAAGAAATTGGTGAAAGAAAGTTCTCATTATAATTCAAATTTAATTTCTTTTAATTTCAACCGTTGAAAATAGGAAAATAAATAAAAAGTTAGAGAAAACAAAAAAAACTACAATGTAGGAAGAATAATTGGTGGAATGATGATGTTCATGGGGGTGATGACCCCCACCATTTCAGGGGACCGGTAGGTCACGCCCCACGTGATGTTCTCGTGGCACCCCAAACCCCACCCCTAAACTATATCCCCAAATTAAAATCCTTTTTCTCCTTCATAAACTTTATTAATAATTTTCTTACTATATATTATTATTATTTATTTTATTTTATCTTTTTTTTTTTAAGTTTTAACGTTTTACAGTTTTACTGGCATATTATTTTTACCTCAAATATATATAATTAAATCTTTACCTCAAATATATACAATTAAATCTCTATAAATTAATACAATCGTGACAAACAAAATTCTATTGATTTAGTAAAATATTAAATTATCATATTAATAGTTTAATAGGTTTTCACTGAATCGGAATCGAGGAAATTATTGTTCAATCGAAATTATTAATTTATCGAAATTCTATCGTGTCTGATAGTATAGCTAAATCAGTTACCAAATTAGTCATTTAGACCAATTGTTGTGGTCTTTTTATGTGGTCTACTTTAGCGTTCCTTACAAATTGTATTTTTCATTTTTACTTATGTAGTATTGGTTTTATTTAGGACCTTTAAGTATCGGTAGTGGTTCGTGGACCAAACTAATAATCACGTGAATTTCATGGAAGCTACATTTATCGCCAATTAACCTTATGAGTTATAAGGGAGAGACATACGTGTATTCCAAATTCATCTTACTCTCGTTACATCACTTTAAATATGTATACATTGTTTCTTCATGATTTCGATTTACTTGATCGTCAGGAGTGTTAACGACGAGAAATCATTTCCTGAAATTTGTTTTTGCATGTCTCTGGAGATAGGTGGGCTTCTTCTTTGAGCTTTTCTGGTTCCAGGTCCATCCATCTTTAATCACTAGCGGATTCAGTATTTTAAGTTCGCGAGGGGCGAATGCATTAAAACTTTTATGAGGGGGCCGATAATGCTAATTATATAGGTATTTTTTTTGAAATATTTATATGAAAAGTAGGGATTCGAGAATTGTTGGAGGGCTATGATCCTATACTAACTCCACCACCGACCACCTTGAATTACTTTGAAAAAAATAATATAAAGTGAATTTATTTTTATCACAAAAATGAATATATATATATATATATATATATATATATATATATATATATATATATATATATATATATATATATATATATATATATATATATATATATATATATATATATATATATATATATATATATATATATATATATATATATATATATATATATATATATATATATATATATATATATATATATATATATATATATATATATATATATATATATATATATATATATATATATATATATATATATATATATATATATATATATATAATTTAACATGAAAGTGATGAACTTAAAATTAATTGCAAAATAAATTCATTTGAAATATAATCACTTGTTATTGTGGTTTTTCTTTTATTATTTTATCACAAGCTTAAACATAAATATTTATAAAGTTTCCAATCCAAATTAACAAGGCTAAAAATATATATATTTCTTGACAAAGTTTAAATCACTAACTTTAATTCATCAATACAAACAAATTAAAGGCTTAGATCATTCATGACGTGAACCTATCTTTTTCCATGGGAATTTCGTTTATTTCATAGACAACTGGCTACATAAAATCTTATCCTATAGTATAGTAAATAGATTTGGTTTATTTGGTTGTATAAGGCTTGTATAATTGCTCGTAAATTTAGCGAAATATGTAAATCAGATTAGATTAACTATGTATAACGAGCTCGATTTAAGTAATATTGGCCGGAAAATTAAAATTCGATCACATGCACTCTCTTCTTCCACCCGCTTAAGCACTCAATTTTGAATTTTCTTCAATAGTAGAGTAAGTGATATAACATTTAATTAATAAAGACATCAATCCGAGTGGATAATTTGAACTCTATCAACATAAGACAAATCAAGATGACGTGTAATTGCACCATATGTCAAATTACAATTATTTAGAGTATAGAGTAGAAGAGGTTTGTGAAGTTGGGGACAACAAGTTAAAGCGACACGTCATGCTCCACAAACCTGTACTATAATTAATGTTAGCTGCGTGTGATGCACGAAACCCCATTTAAAATAATATGTGAATAAGAAAGAACAAATAAAATAATTGTATTCTTTAAATAAGACAAAGTATCTAATTTTGTTCCTATTTGACGTTTATATCTTATTGTTTTATTTTACACATGTAAGTCCATTTTGAATGGTTTTCCACGCAATAATTGAATTGAGGGATAATTTTGTTTTTAAATTTGAAACTCATGATTAGTTTGATGAGTTAAACTAGTACTTAAATAATTTAATTGGTGATCAGAATGGTCTAATTATCGGTGGTGATTCAACAAGTCGGACGTGCAAGCTATTATACGAGAGAATAATTTTACCCAATACACCTATACGATTGGTTGTATATGCATGTCAAATGTGTGTGGAAAGAATGTTTATGCGATACTACAACTTGTGAAATGTTTCGAATGGTTAGTAGCATAAATCTACGTAAACAATAACCAACTAAGCACACATAAATGTGGGCATGTGTGTGTTTTTATGTATTGATCTATGCTGCACGGACACTTTTACAAGGTGAAGAGTCGTCGTATTCGACACTTGGACACTCAGACACGCCTGGACACAATTCGAACACCCATGTCGGACCTTGTCGTAATTTCACTAAAAGTATGACACTCGTGTCGGACAGTGTCCGCAATTTAAAAAAATGTTGGGACACGTCTCTTATGTTTTAAGAGAATGCCCTAATAAAAAATACGCATTTTTTCCTCTTGTCTTCTTTCAGAGTCCACCCAAAAGTCCAAAACTCTAGCGACAACGGCGACCAAGAACACGAGCAGCAAGGGCGAGCGGTTCTCTTATGCAATTTGGCGATTTATAAATATATTTTTATAATTTATTAATGTACCCCTATATTTTAAAAATTTATAAATATACTCCTATATGTTTTATATTTACGCGTATCCCCGCGTGTTCATATCCTAGTGTTTTGGAAATTCCGTATCACCGTATCCGTGCAGCATAGGTATTGATGAATAATGCCGAAACTAAAAAAAAAAAAAAAACCGGAAAACAACCATAAGCTTACACTAGAAATTGGCCCAATTACAGGGCCCGATAGGAAACTGGCCCAATTACAGGGCCCGGTAGGAAACTTGCCCAATTACAGGGCCCGGTAGGAAACTTGCCCACTGTGTTATGAATTTTCAAATGCTGTAAGAAGTCACTTTGTAAGTTTCTTCTTTGCTTCTTCCACTGATTGGTCGCTGAAATGGAGGTCAGCAAGGTAAATAATTTAGCTCCATGTTCGAATTTAGGAGTGAATTAGGGTTGAATATTTGCTATGATAATTTCAATTTTCAACAATTTATGCGCTTGGATTGCAGAAATTTACCGACCAAAGTAGATGTCGGGAAATGGCAATTACGTCGTCGTTTTGCCGCAGGATATACTCGGAGGTGATTTTATTTAATTATCTCTCTCGTTCTTAATCATCTGTTTAATGGCAGTCAAATTACGAAAAAAATCTCTCATGTTTACGTAATTAAAACCACCATCAACTATGAGTCTTCCTACACTTCCATCCTTGCAGTGTCAAATTTAGTGGAATCGTGTAGTTTATGTAGAATATTCTCCCATTTGTACCCGTTTTACCCCATTCGAGCTCCACATTTCGAAACAAGAAGATGCATTTTTGCACAAAACTGAGTACATACTAAAGAACATTCTACGGAATCTAGAAGATTATGTTGAATTTGGCACCACAAGTGTGGACGTGTAAGAAGATTCATAGTTGAGAGGTGATTGTGATTATCCAAACATGAGGGGTTTTTTCGTAATTTTAGCTTATCTCAGAGGGAGACTGTATTTTACTCTAATTTTTTTTGAAGCAAAATTGTTTCATAATTATGAAGCTTATTAATTGGTTATGATTTTTTTTTTTCATTTTTTTTAATGTAAAAAAATCAGGATAAATTGTGTGTTGTCTACAGGTAGAAGAGGTTGGATGGGAGCATCTAGTGAAATTAGGGGATGATCTACTGTTTCTTAGCTTTCGTGTCATGTATGTATATATTGCAAATTAAAAAAATTAAAATAAACTGCACTTCTGTTAAATTATTACATGTTCTTCAAATGTTAGTATGAGTATGATGTTTTTTTTATTGTCTGCGAATATCCAATTAAATAAGAGCTAAGGATGTGATTAACAAGTTTATGTTCGTGCTCCGTTTTTTATACCTCAATTAGATAATCTGATTTTGAGGGAATATTTTCAAACTTTTCCGATCAATAGATATCGTAGAATGTGTTTATGTGATTTTTTTATCTAGTGGTTTCATTATAAATATCGGTGTTACTTTTTAATTTTACCGTCATTTTTTTTACGATTATTTGTGTTCGATTTTATTGTATAGGGATGATAAAGGAAGGGTGCATATTCTGGAGATAACTCTCGATAACAACTACCCAAGGTCTCCACCTTCGGTATCAGCGGTTTGTACTTGACCGCTTTTTTGGTTGTACATTTGTTTCTTATCTCGAAATCTCTGACAAAGAAAAAAAAAACAAGGTGTATTTGTTTTTGTATTATCTTGTCAACAGGATGTGCCTTGGAACTTGAATCTAGAATGGTCGTCAAACTCAAAGTTAAGAGATGTTCTACAGCAGTTTCAAAGGGTAATTTTGGCGTATTTCTGAATTTTATTCGATTTTTTTTTTAGTTTTTTTATGTATAAATTTGTTCATGGATATGATCTCCTGTGCATATAGCAAGTTCATATGCTCCAGGAATTTTGGTCAACTTTGGACGACATTGACCGGTCTCTTTGGGTAATCGATCCAACACATACACATCTTGCAATGCCGTACCGCCAAATCAAGATTGGTTGGTTTTTATTAAACGAATTTTGATAAATACTTTTTTCGTCTTTATTTATCGCTTGTGTTTACTAATCCTCGTTTTGTTTTTCAAGGACACGATTGTTGTGCCATACTGTCGATAAATGTCAACGATCCTTTATCCCTGCCCGAGTAGGATTCTGAAATATAAATTTTATTTTAATTTTTTTGTTATTTATATTATCTCTCAAGTATAATTGGGCTGAGATCATCTTATACTAAATTTATACTTTGTTCTGGTAGGTGTCGTTTCCTAGGTTCAGACACCGAAGTCAACTCTCTTAGAAATATTTGGAAGCGAAATAGTAAAAAATGGTATGTATTTCTCGATTTTGAAATCCTATTTTTGAATGTTTGCATCTTTTATATCATATTGAGTACTAAAATTCGGTAATGGTTCTGTTGTTTCGGAGAACATGGATAGCCTCTTTCTCGTTTGTTGTGCTTGCATATAGTAGATATTAGATAATATTAATGCTACTAAAATTTCCGATATATTTATGTGATCTAATAGTTACTCTCTATTACAAAACAATAGGAAGAAAGACAAATCATTTTCCGAAAATCTTGCTTGCGTTTTCGAGACTCAGTTACCACAACCTCCACATGCCCGACAAAACGAGGAGCATGCTGAATGCGGCATTTGTTTTGCTCAATATCTTCCCACAGGTAATTCTCTAATATATGATTTATCGCAAAGTAAATAAAATAAATAAAAACCCGGTTTTTTTTTTTTCTTTCCTCCTAGATGATGAATTTGGTGCTAAGAGTGGAAGTGCAACTGATTGTACGTGTGAAAACAGAAACTGTAAGCCAGAGTTCCACAGTGTTTGTCTCGTCAAATGGCTCCGTTCTATTGCAACAACTAGGCAGTATGTTATAATTCTCTAATCCCGAATCTCGCTCACGAATTTCTATTGTAATAAAGAATATATATTCATAGTTCGTTTTTTTTTAGGTCGTTTGATGTGCTATTCGGAAATTGCCCTTACTGTTCGGATCCAATTGCAGTCAAAATCAGCACCAACAAGTATTAGTAGTAACATCTTATCGCATTACAATTTACGGCATCGATAGAAATGTTTTATACACCTCACAATTTTTTACCCTCGTTTCGAGACAATAACAAAGGGTTTCCTATTACTATGCAAATAGCACAATGAGGATTTTATTACATCGGTAAAACCGAAATTCTTGATCGTCGTATGTAGTTATCTGCTCAATAATTATTGTAGGACCTTTGATCTTGCGAATTGGAGGTTAATATGAAGCTGTATTTGAAGCAAATTACTTAATGTAGTAGATTCAAGTGGGCTCTGTTTTCTTGTCTGCCCTGTCTGAATTCTTGCAGGTGAATTTGTTCTTGCATGGGGTCTCTTTTTTTTTTTTTTTTTTTTTAAAATTTTTTTATTGAACTTTGAACATATATACATATAAGTTACAACTCCATCCTTATATATATTCTATATCTGTGGTGAAAGTTACAAATATTTGTTATTGCCATTTCAGGAGGGGCTATGTTCCCTTTTGGTAACCAATTTCTTTTAAGGATTGTACACTTGATATATATACACATGGTCCACTGTTGAAACTAGAAAGTAACACGAACGCGTTTACATTGATTTTGGTCGTTTTTAGTCGCCGTAAATTCATATTTTCTTAAATCTCGTGATTATATTAAATCATTTGAAATATGAAAAGAAAAAAAAATTCAAACCAAAACAGTACGAGCAGATATTACTAGGATTCACTTTTTTCGACTAATTTTCGAATTAGCGAAAGAGTATAACTATTTTCGGAGAATCGATATACGCAGTAAGGAAATTACTATTGATGATATATATTCATGAAAGAACAACAGCTTTTCTTAATTCAAAATATCTTCAAGTACAGTAGAAAATACATCGTTTTCACAATCATGCAAAATAACAACAAAATGTACCAAAGCAACCGACACCATATATATATATATATATATATATATATATATATATATATATATATATATATATATATATATATATATATATATATATATATATATATAGGTTGAAATATTTCCCTTTAGACCCCTCAATAGTAATTAGTAAACATGCAAAAGCCAATTAGAAATTGACCACTCAGTCCTTTTCTGGCGCCGACAAAGAAAGGCGCCCGGCCACCTGAATATACTCAAATCAGATTCCGGCCGTACATTCCGGTGGGGTAACAGGGTAACGGGACTTGTCAGTGCAGTAATCGTAAATGACGTGGTTCATGCGGACCCAACGGTAGCGCCTGGCCTCTTCGGGGCTGAGCTGCTGGTGTGCCGCCCCCTCCCACCAGTTGCCGGGGTTGGAGGCACAGCTGGCGGGGCCCGGCATCTGGCAACCTTCGATGTCGAAATCCTTGTAGTAGGCATAGAATGGGGCTTTGCTCCAATCTATCTTCTCCAAACCGCCACGTGTCGCCCAGTCATCGGCCTCCCAGAGAGTGGAGTACACTCCCATTGGTTGGAATTTCGGGAACGGGATTCCTCTCGCCTCGTTGTTCTTGTAAACCCTAATCGGTATGTCGTCCACCGAAAACCTATAAAAAAAAAATCAAAAATTATAAAACAAAAAAATCGTAATATATCCATGCATGACGTAAGACTAACGGATTAATGACGTAATTAATTAAGTAACATACACGACGTGATGGTGATTCCAGAAAATGGAGTAGGTATGGAATGCTGCGGCGGGGTCAAACCAAAGGTTGACCCTTTGTTCGCGGTCACCTTTGCCGTGGGCATAGACATTTGTTTGGACCGTGTAGGGTTGACCGGACCGGTTACCCAAGAACTCGAAATCCAACTCGTCTCGAACCGTGTCAGTGTCCGAGTTCATCTATTATTTACACATAGTTACCGAACCATAATTAATATAAAATTAACCATAGTTAAGAATTCGATCAATAAAAAAAAAAAAAAAAAAAAAAAAAAAAAACCGTACGTAAAATGCAGTGACTGTCCCGGCAGAGTCGCCGGGAACAAGCTTGATCTTCATGCTCACACGTCCGAACAAATATTGATACTTCGAAGCAAAACCACATCCTGAATTTCATATATTTAAAAAAAATTAATGAATAATAATATTAAGATAATAATTGAAATTAAAAAAAATTAGTAGCTAATTAATTAATGAGATTAATAAATGTACCTGAGGTTTGGTCAAGAACAAGTTGAATGGCTTTTCCTCCTTCGAGTTGCCGAATGTGATTATCGGCCCACGCCACTCGGAAATCCTGCGAAAAAGTCGCCGGTCGAGCGTTTGCAGTGCATGAAAGTAACGCCACCGCAAATACAACACATGCTAATAATCCCAAAGCTCCCATTTTTTTTTTCTAATAATATAATGTTTTTGTTGTGATGATATAATAGAAGATGTAATGTGAGGTTTATTTATATACTAGTATAAGTAGAGAGAGAAAGAAGAGGAGAGAGAGAGAGGGATTGCTGCATTGAAATCGAAAGAGAGATACATCAGAGAATTAGCTTTCGATACAGCTAATGGTAAGCCGTCAAATGGACCCGCCATCTCTCTCTACCCAACCATATTATTGTAATTTGGATCATACAAAAAATAAAATATAAATTAAAAACCAGTTTTAGTATTATAAATTTATTATTATTATTATCCATACATTTGTTACTGCACTTTCATTAATGCATGTCTTTTCCCGCCAATTATTTGGCCCCATCTCTCTCTCTCTCTCTCTCTCTCTCTCTCTCTCTCTCTCTCTCTCTCTCTCTCTCTCTCTCTCTCTCTCTCTCTACTGTATTTAATTAATTTATATATCAGTACTAATTTGCAGCATTTCATATTTGTATACTTCGCATTCTGATTTACTGCTGCATTTTCTTGCAGGCTAATATATTAAGATTTTTTATTAAATTACTGAAAAAGAAAACAAAAAAAAGTGGAAGAGGCTACTAATATATAAGGGTAAATCACAAAAACCCCCTTAACTTAGGTTAAATAACAAAAAACACTCCCACCTATCTATAATAACCAAAATCCCCATCTAATTAACTGTTGGTCGATTTTTTTAACTACAGTCTATTATACCAACTGTTAAATAGGTGAGAAAAAAAAGAAAATATATGATATTGTGTAAAGTCTATTCTCTGGAATCAAAAAATTCCATGAAAAATCACATTGTAAGTGGTTGGTGTGAGACGAAAACAAACCTCAGGGAGTTTTTGGTAATTACGATGAGGTGGAGGGGGTTTCTATAATTCAATCTAAGTTTAGGGGGGTTTTCTTAATTTATACAATATATAATTGGAGAACTAATTGTTAAAAGTGGCGAATTGTTGTCTGGTGTGAAGTCACAAATCACAAGTGAAGAAGCGCTTTTGATTTGGCAGTTGGCACCACACAGTTTCATACAATTAGTATCAGAAGTGCTAAAAATATTAATATCTTCTTTAATAGTGCCAGACTGTAGTATCCACAGCCATAGAAGTGCTATTAATGACGTAAGATAAATTTTCTCATTTCCTGACTAGAAATTTGGAACGGAATTTTCAATTTTTCAAAATTCAGATCCAATAGCTTCCAATTTTGGAATGATAAATTTGATTTTGACCCCCAAAATCTCCGATTTTTTATTCTTATATTAAAATTAACATTTACACGAGATTTCGTCTTCTGAAAATAATTCATTTTTTTTTCCGAAAAATTATACTTACGATATCAAAATGTTATATAATTTTTATTATATAATTTTGTCGATCTCAATCTGAATATTTCCTTTTGGAATATATTTTTCTAACTTTTTGAAATTCCGAATTCCAAATTTTTCAGTTTTAGTTAGGTGGACTGTGGAAGGGTGTAAATGTACCTAAAATTGCTTGCTCCGACATATACGGAAATTGGGTTTATACTACGCTACACCGGATGAAATACATCAGGTCGATATTTAACATTCATACACACGCAAACACAAACCCACTCATATTAGTGTGTGTAGTAGATCAACGGTAAAAAATCGTCAAATATATCTTTCACCGAGTGTAGTATAGAAATAACTCGAAAACTGAAATCTGGCATATTGATGAGAAGCCAGCCCATGAAAAGCGCAATGCATCAAATGTGGGCCTAACTTCTATATACCTGGGCTTCAGATTTTGTCAAATGCCAGAATTTTCTCTTTTAGTTTGTTTATGGATGCAACTTTCTGAAATTGTAGGAAAACGAACTGCAATTAAACGTGCTGACGTGGTCAAAGGACCACCATTTGAATCATATCCTCTCTTTTTTTCTTTTTAATTTATTTTTTATGTTTACATATATATGGATAATCTTCTTCGGTCGAACAGATTGGTGCTAATAAATATTCCTCATTCAACAACTATCCCCTCGACTAGACATGATCACGGTTTCGGTTTGGTTCAGTTCGCTTTGGTTCTGGTTCCAATTTTGGAGGAGCGAGAACCGTACCAAATATTTCCGATTCTTTGTGGTTTGGTTTTTTTACAGTTCCCGGTACTATTTTTTTTTAATTTAAGTTAAAAAAAGTTACTTTAAAAAAATGAGTGGAAAGAATACTTCAAAGATTTAAAAAACATTAAAGTTTTTTTTTTTAAATACTTCAAAAAATATTTTTTTACTTTTAAAAAAATTGAAGAAATTAGTTTTAGTTTTAAACTTAGAAACCGAACCGTTCGGAAATTTCGACTGTTGCATTTCCTTTTATTTTTTTTTTTTGAAAATTCAACTGTTTGGAGCTGCCGGCGTGGAATTTCATTTTTTTTTTAATTTTTTAATACGACTGTTCAAATAATTTAATTTAAAAAAGAAACGGTTAGAACCGCGGTTCTAACTGTCGATTTTCGGTTTCGAAAATGGGGAATCGGAATGGAACCGATTTTCTCGGGTCTAGTTCTGGTCAAACTAGTTCCGATTCGGTTAAAAAACTGTTGATCCCGGTTCAGTTTCGGTTCCGGTTCTTGTTCTAACCGAACAGGTGGTCATGTCTACCATCAACTATGAATTTTTGAGGTCAGGTCAAAAAATCAACAGAAATCTTTTAGATTCCGTAAAATGTTCTTTAATTTGTACTCGTTTTATACATTACAAGAGGTTATTTGTAAATATATAACTAGACGAATTATTTTCATAAGTAGATCTAACTTAAGTGGTATTTTTTACAATTTACTCTCCTTATAATTGATGCATGCTGGAATAATTTGAATTTTCTTTTGCTAGCTAGTTGACAAAAAAAGTACATATCATTGATTTGAGCCTTGACGGCAAGCTTGTTAAATTGGGAATAGTATTAATTTTTCTTTTATCGTTGAGGACAAATTACATTGGAAAATAATTACATAACCTAATTTATCTAGGCCTAGGGTAACCTCTATATTTATAGACGACTATATAAATGTTTAGATAAGATTTGTGGTACATTTTAATTAACAAAACCTTATATAGTAGATCCGTATTTTCGGATCCAACAATAAGATCCATTTCTGACCCGATAACTTTTTTACCTGAAAAAGAGGTATACATGAGATGTAGATTGGGTGGGCCGACAAAAATGGGCAGGGTTTCATTTGACGAGACTCTTCGCGTACTCGAGGACAAACAAATCGCTTTTATTCTTACTATGTTAAAATATATTGAAATAAATCAACATAAAATTTCGAATTGCTAAATGCGGTCAACTTAGTGTTGAGTGTGTATATGAATAATAAAGATTTTTCAGTATAACATATTAAATAAACCCCTATCACGTTTTCCCCTGCAATCACCGATTCGCTTTGATTAATTTAAATTTTTGTTAGCCTGGACTTGACAACAATTGTCTACATAATAGAATGTTGTTAATGTTTTTGTGTGCTGAATCCACTGTAAGGTTAGAGTTTGCGCATTTCCTAAGTTTGCACATTTCCTAACATCGATTTATTTTAGAACAACTCGTAGCGTATGAGATCGTACAATTTCAAATAGGATTTGAGAACAAGTTGTCCACATGGGGGGAAACTGGATATTGTTGCTCATGATCGAATATTGTGGATGTTTTTTGCGTGCTGGATACACTATATGGCTAAGTTTTCACAATTCCTAACATCGATTTAGTTTAGAACAACTGGTAGCGTTTGAGATCGTACGATTCAAATAGGATTCACAATAAAATATAGGTAAAGGGTCTGCATCAATGAATGTATGTGAGATGGACTTAGACATAAGCACAAGGCATAAGAATTAATTGAGAGGGAGTGAGGCCAAATTTGAATTAATTTTTTTTTTTAACTATTGGGTAGAGAGAGATGAATATTCAATATATTGAATTGTAGGGGAGGGGCATCACACATTGATTGTATATTTACAGGACTTGGACCATACAACCACCCTTTGTCCCCCTACCAAACCCTATTTTTGGTCCCACATTCTTAAACATCCCATAGTTGGCACTTCTCCTATTTATTTCTTTTTTATTATTCATATTAATAATAATATCATATTTATCATATAATTTATTTAATTATTTACCGACGAAATCATTACCCTTGGGCCCAATATTCAACAGCCCATATTCATGTGGAGTAGCCCAATATTAAGGCCCAAATTTGCATAGGATTATTTATTCAATGCTTTTCTTTGACTTGGGCCGTTTTAGTCCATATATATATATATAGGTCTTCAAACAAACATTAGAGCCCACTCCCAATATTGTTAGAACCGGACCGGACAAACCAGTCGAACGGTTCGACCGTGATCCGGCAATAAGGCAGTCCGGTCTAACCTCTAAAATCGAAAAAAAAATTGAAAACCGAGGTCAAATGACCAAAACCGAGTTCGACTCGATAAAATCTGGGGACCGGCAAATCGGTCAAAAAACTCGATTTTCGGCCAAAACATCTCAAACCACCACTGATTAGTAAGAACGACACAACAACTATCATCAATACGGCCGACATCGACTCCCATACTGAGGTAAAAGAAACACGTTTTTTTTTTTTTTTTTAATAAGAAATCGATGGTTTTTTTATGCATTTCGTGTACGATTACACGAAATGAGACATCGCGTTTCGTACAATCCTACACAAAATGCACGATATTTTTTAATTTTGTTTCATTTCGTATAGAATTACACGAAATGAGACAAAATTAAAATGATGACTCATTTTCGTGTAATCCAACTATAAAGAAAAAAAAAAAAAAAATGGGTATGCTGGGTTCCCATTACAGAAAGGGATTAAAGCTTAATAATGCAATTAAAAGTTAAAAACAAAGTAGATGAATTGATGAACCAGAAATCAGACGTCCGTTAGTGGGTCGTCAAGTATAGAAATCCTATTGGCTTGTTGCTGTCATTTCTTGTCCTAAAAAGGCTCTCTCCACGAGGTCACTTTTTTTTTACTTTTTTTTTTTTCTTTGTTTCTTTTTGCTCTTTGGCCTCTGCTATACTCTTCTGTCCTTCTACATTCACCTTCTCCTTCTATCCAAAACTATTAACTAATCCATATTTTTTTAACACACACACACACACACACACACACGGATACTTATAACCATATATATGCTTGCCACTCGGTGAATCTCAAATTCAATATAAATAATCTTGTGCTTCATTCATTTCTTGGTTT